CACTTTCTGTCTCTCTGGCAAGTGCATACACCCTTTAGCAAAAATCTCTCAAGAAAATAAAAAGAAGAAAGAAAGAAAAGAAAATGGGAGATTTGGGGTTGACTAGTGGTGTGGTTGTTAAGACTCTGGACTCCCACATGACAGACTGTGGTTTGAGTCCTGGACCTGGCAGTATGCTTTCTCACTTTCCTTCTCTTTCTCTGGTCAAATTAAAAACAAAAACAAAAACACTTATGAATAAAATAAAATAATTCTTTAAAAAAAAGAAAGAATATGGGAGATATGAGTTAAAAGTGGTTTCTTGAGCTAGCTAGGCTGTAGAGCTGACCCACATGGTGTTTTTCATGCTTTTACGTTTGCTTATCTCTAAAAAAAAAAAAATTTAAAAAATCTTTCAACTGTGAAGACTAAAACATATTTTTTTGCCTTAAATTAAAACAATGCAGGAGAAAGACCTACTTCTGTGGAAATAAATGTTTGAAGGGAAATCAAAATGCTGAAAACTCCTTTTTCTTTAATTTTTCAAGGCTAATCTTGACTGTTAAGAGATTGAGACTGAAAAGAAAATCACTAGTACTGATTATGGGCTGAGCCAAAAACCCTGTGGCACTTTCTTATGGATAATAATAAATAGTATTAGAAATGACCTAAAATGGAAATAAAAATACCTTGCATTATAATGACATTGAAAATAACAAATCTCTTTATCTTAAGTCATTGGACAAGAAACCAGGTCATTTATTTAGATTTTATAACATAAGTGCACAAGAATCTTTGACTTACCTCTTTTGATGTCAAAGGAGATGTATTTTTCATTATAATTAGTTTTACTGATTGCGCATTCCTTAAGAAGAGTTAGTACGACCAATGTTCAGGTAAAGAAGAACACAAAATACAATGGCTAACCTCATTTGATAAGTTATATTTAGTACACAGTTTACCTATAGCTCTTCTCTGAATATCCTAAGAGTTTTATTTTTCAGTCAATGACAAGATCATTTTGAAATTGTGGATTTCCAGATTTTTTTTTATCACTAAATTATACTATTAAAGTTTTATTACATTTGACAAATATTTTATGTAAACTTTGGTTAATTATTATAGTGAGAAGAGAGTCAATTGGGGAACCAGCAGTTAGCGTAATGGCTATGTAGCTGGACTCCCACGTAGTCGACCGTGGTTCACGTCCCGGACCAGGTGGCTTAAAACTCACGCTGGGCGTGTGTGCGTGCGTGCCCAAGATCCCGAGAGGAGAATGGAGAAGAAGGGATTGTATCACTTAATATTAAGGTTATTTTGGTTGAAAGTGACAGAAAATCCAACCCTTTGAGTGAAACAAAGAGAGCACTTTGGGGGCCATGAAATCAAAAAATGTGAGGGGAGAACTAGTTTCAGTTATGGCTAGTATATAAATTATTATAATCACAATCTGGTTTCTCTGGTTGGCTCTGAGACCTAGTGGTCAAGAGAACTGATGCCACATAGCTGACTGTGGTTCAAATCCTAGCCCCTGCAACTTGAAAAACATATGGGATGTGTGTGTGTACATGACCCAAATCCCAAGATAGAGAAATGGAGAGAGGACTGTGGTGTGACTATTGCCCATCGATGGGTGCTTTCTCTCTCTTCTTCTCCCTCTCTCTTAGTCTCTATCTTTCCATGGTGAGTGCACATACCCTCTGACAATTAAAAAAAAAAAAAAAAAAAGAAAACTGGCCTGTCTCATAGCATTGCTTTCTTCTGTGTTGGAGAGCAGGCTCCATTATATTGTATGATTGCTGCCAGGATGTTTTATCTTTTGGCTCAAACACAGTGGAGAGAACAGATTTTCTATCCCAAACCACATCCTGAATTGCATCTCATTGGTCTGATTGCAGATCATTTACTCTCCTGAGACTCAAGGGCCAGCAGGACCTATTGGTCATATTAAATTCCTGTGCCCATCCCTAGATGCTTGATATAAATACAGCAGCAACAACAATATTCACTACGTTTTTCTCTCCATTGAAGCCAGTATTAAATGTACCTTGTCTATATACAAAGATTTCACAGAGGGCCATGACAAGGTGTGTTTTGTGGTTGGATGGTATAGAGCTAGAATTTAAACAAGAGTACTACAAAATGTATAACCTTAATGAAATACTTAAAAAGCATATATTGGATATCTGATAGCTTACCTTACAGGCAGGAATGATATTAGAAATATTCACCAATGAGAATAAGTTGGATTCTGCGAATCAGAACTGGAGCTGATCACAAACCACCAGTGCTTCCCCAGAGTGAGTGCTGGCAGGCTGTCAGCCCAGTTGTGGGGAGGCATTGCAAAGATGCCACTAAATCTCTTTAAAAGTGTAGTTACTGTATTGGTTTTCTAAGGATTCCATAACAAACTGTCACAAAGTAGGTGACTTAATGTAACGTAAATTTATTTTCTTAGACTTCTGGAGGTTAGAAATCCGAAATCAAGTGTGGCCAGGGTCATCTTCCTTCTGAAGGCTCTAGGGAAGATTCTTTCTTTGCCCCTATAGTGGTTGATAGCGGTCCTTGCCTCCGCCCACCCCCAGGACGTGTGAACTTACAAGAGAGAGAAAGAGAGAGACAGCACCCCTTGTGGGGTATCATCAGGTACAATCCCTTCTCCTCCATCTCTTCCTCTTTTCAGGATTTTGGGCACCCACGCACACATACCCCGCATGTTTTTTAAGGTGCTAGCTCTGGGACTTAACACATGCAGTGGGCCATATGGGCTATACCATGTCATGGACTGTCTCCATCCTTGGCATTCTTTAGGTGTAGATGTATTACTCTAATCTCCATCTTCCTAGCCTTCTCTCTTGTGTTTGGATTGTGGTATTCAAATTTTCCCCTTTTTATTTATTTATTTATTTTTTATTTTTAGTTTTTTTTTCCCCCCCACCCCCCGAGGGGATGGCCACACTGCAATCCCTTCTTCTCTATTCTCTTGGGATCTTGGGCATGCATGCACACGCACCTGGCATGAGTTTAAACCACTGAGCCTGAGACTCAAATCTTGGTCGACTACATGGGTGCCCAGTGACATAGCCATTACACCAACTACTGGTCCCCCATTTTTATTTTTAAAAGTTTCTTATTTACCTGTTTCATTAGACAGGTAAAGAGATGAAAGGTAGAGAGAGACAGGTACCCTTGACAGGATATCCACCCCTCAGTCTCCCAATCAGCCAGGATTATGGGTGTACACAGAAGTACCTAGATGATCTGGTCAACTTGGAATGCAAACCTGGGCCTCCCATATGGCTCCAGTATCTTGCAGTGGCATCTCAGCCTGCACCACTATGGCACCAGTTTTCCTCTTTTTAACTTAAAAGTTTAAGCAACCATTTTTTTTTCTTATTTATTATTTTAATTCTGTTGAAATGTAAATGTTAGTGTTCTGGTTAGGCAGAGAATTAATATTCATCAGCAGGAGTGAGAATGTGCATGGGGAGGCATTCTTACATTCTTACACATGATTTTATTGAAATCAAAGAAGTTTTGACTTCAGTAAATGAAACTGACCGCAATCAGATGAAAATAATCTAATTTATTTAAGATCGAATATAGGAAATGGGAGAGAAATCCAACTGGTGAAGGGCTTGAAACCATATCTGGTAAGGAGGATTTGAAAATAATAGTAATTGTCTTTAACTCTTTGAAGGACAGCTCTGTGGAAAAAGGATTAGACTTTAGAGGGCAGAACTAGAATAAGTAAAGATAAAAGGAAACATTTCAGTACAGTATAAAACAAAATGTTCCCAATGTCCAATGCACTAAAATGGAAGCGGTTGTTGTGTAAGGGAGTAAAAGTATAGGTTCTGGAAGTACTCAAATAGATGCTGCATAATTACCCCATTGGGACATTTTCAGAGAGATTTTGACTTGGAAAAAAAAATTGAAATGGAAGGTGTAGTTCTGCTTCAAGATCTCTTGCAAATTCTCCTAAAGTCTTTATGTACGTACAATGAAATATTAATTACACTTATTTCTGTAAGTGTAAATGATTTTTAATAGCTGCCAAGCTAAAGTTTTGCCTTATGACCCTGGTGCTGTGCACTATAGGGAAAAAAAGGAGAGGGAGATTTAATCTAAAAGAGGGGCCAGCTATGGCCAGCCTCATTATGTAGCAGTTAAGCACTGTGTTTAGGGAGCCCAATCCAATATGTCAACTGCAGTTTGCATTATAGACCTTGTGGATTGAGAGATTGAGAGACATGCTAGTTGTGTGTGTGTATTGTGTGTGTGTGTGTGTGTGTGTGTGTGTGTGTGTGTGTACCTGTGTGTATGCATGCCCCAAATCCTGACAGGATGAAGAAATGGAAGAAAAGAATTGTGATGTGATCATGCCCCATTGAGGGATGCTTTCTTTCTTTCTCTCTCACTTTCTCTCAGGTACTCTCTCTTTCTCTGGCAAGCACATGTGCCTTCTTGACTTGAAAAAAATAGTAGTTTCTGGAAATTACAAAAAGTTGAAAAACAAGAAAGGGAAGCATTATTAATAAATGAGAAAGATAGGTAATAGAACTTCTATTTACTGATAGACTACTATGTGCATGGTGAATTATTAATAGATTAGTCTCTTAATCCATATTATCTAATCTCATTTACAATATTTAGTTTCTCATTGTTCAATTTGGAATTTATGAGAAGTTGTTCTTAGAATGATGAATTCTTGAGCCAGCAAGTGGAATGGTAGTTAAGGCAGCTGAATCCCACATGATGAACTGTGCAGTTGGAGTTCTGGATCCAGTGGCTTGAAAAACATGCTAGGCATGTGTACGTGCATGCCCACATTCCCAAAGGAAAAATGGAGGAGAAGAGATTGGTATGACCATGCTCTGTTGGGATGCTTTCTCATTCCCTCCCCATCCCCACTGCCGTGAGCACATGTGACCTCTAACACATTTTTTAAAAAAATCGCAATGATGAATTCTTAAAGTAGTTGCTTTTTAAAAAATATTTTCTTTCATGATGGAATACAGGATGGTTCTGATGGCTACATGTGCAAAACGTACCTTCAAAGTAATCAGACTTCGGCACCACATCCAGGAGCATCTGCTCATTCACAGACGTGTCTTTCCATGGAGGTGAGTAGTTTAACACTTCAGTTTCTCCTTTTTAGTCTTATAAAGTATTGATTTAAATATTTGAATCTGTTAGGTTTATATTTTTAAAAATTATCTACCTTTGGGTCTTGAGCCTGATAGAGAAAAGGAGATATTTTCTTCTGTAATATCAAAAGTAGTGATCAAGTTTAAGATCCACTCTGAGTCTAGTCAGATTGTAGGATCCTTCATATTTTTGGTTTCTCTTGGATCTGAAGACCACAAATGCCTTCTCTTACCTATGGATTTCTCTCCTCTGAAGTCCCCTCAGGGCAATAACCTATCCCCATATTTCTTTATTCTTGACTGGAAAACTCTACCTAGACTACCTTTAAACCTGTTTTCCTATCCCCTTGAAAATATGCTGGATCTGAGTCTCATTCCTGGGGGAACTTTAACATTGACTTGGAAAACTTACTAAATTAAAATTTATTGAGGTGCTAATGGCTTAGCAGTTTTCTAGAATTTTGTAAGTTTTCTTTTTACTGAAATGCAAATAGCTTATTGCATTTCTTATTGTTAAAGAATGTTTATATCCTTGGTAACAGCACATGGTGTAGTTGTTACATCACTGGACTCCCACATAGTTGACTGCTGTTCAAGTCCCACACCCAAAGGCTTAAAACTTAGGCCAGGCACATGTGCATGTGTGCCTAAAATTCCAAGAGGAGAATGGAGGAGAAGGGATTGTGGTGTGACCATTCCTCCTGGGGGTAATTTCTCTCTTTTTGTCTCTGGCGAGTGTATGTACCCTATAGCAAAAATCTCTTTAAAAATTTTTTAAAAAGTATATAGCCATTCAGGGACCAGCAGTTAGTGCAATGGCTATGTTGCTGGACTCCCATGTGGTTGACTGCGGTTCGCGTCCCGGACCCGGTGGCTTAAAACTCACACCAGATACGTGTGTGTGCGTGCCCAGGATCCTGAGAGGAGAATGGTGCCCAGGATCCCTGGAGGAGAATGGGAGAGAAAGGATAGCGGCATGGCCATCCCCCCTGGGGGGTTGATTTCTTGCTTTCTGTCTCTCTGTCTCTCTCTTTCTGGAGAGCGTATGCACCCTATGGCAAAACAAACAAACAAACAAAAAAAACTCTCCAAAAAAAAAGTATATAGCCATTCTAAAACAATAAATAAATATATGAGTTAAAAATTTCTCCCATATGCCTTTTAATATGTAACAACTATTACTATTTTAGTAAATAATCGTCCATGTGTTTATATCCTACACACAAATCCATACTTGTTTTTTTGTGGTAAGTAAGTATATCATGAATACTTTTAAAAATAATTTTATTTATTTACTTATTTATTTTAATTTGATGGGGGTGGGAGAGAGAAAATGAGAAAGCAAGCTGCCAGGTTTGGGATTCAAACCGTGATTGGCCATGTGGGAGTCCAGCTTAACCATCACACCACCTGCAGGCCTCTATCATGGATATCTTTCTATGTCAATAATTGTAGAATTTTATAGCTCTCTTTAACGGTTCCATTGTATTCTGTCTAATGGATGCAGCATAGTTATGTGGAACTCATACTAAAGTAAATACTTTGATATTGAAAGAGGATTGGTTGGGGACCTGATTGTTTCAACACAAGGGAAGAAATCACCAATGCTTAAATTCTGGGTCCTGGAAAATATGGGAAAGGTGAATCTGTGTGTGTCTGTGTGTGTGTGTGTGTGGGGAGAGAGAGAGAGAGAGAGAGAGAGAGAGAAACTCTTTTTTAGGACCTATTAAATCAAGCCCATCTGGCAATTAGACATTAGCCTTTCCTGTCTCTGTATGATGCTGGCCTGGAAGTAACTTTCACCAATATAATTTGATTTGCAAGTTACTCTTGAGAGTACTGTAAGAGTCAAGTGCCCCGTGTGGGTGCCTGAATCTTGATTACTTCTTCATGGTTCGAATAACCAACATAAAATCTGAAGCCAAGCATTTTAGGAAACCTCAATTCATTATATATTAACTTAAAAATTGTTAAAAAGTTTTAACACAGAAATAGTGATTTAAAAGATGAATTACCAGTTTTTGTCTAATGAGCTGGCAGAGATTTGAAAGATACTAAAACGTGGTGTTGACAGTATGAGAGAACTGACACTTGCTGGTTGATGTTTAAAGTTTGTCAAGTTTAAAGATGTGAACATACTATGAATAATCTATTCGAACTCTAGGAATTTCACCTCATAAAATATAAATTTTCCCAACATTTTTCATTTCTACTCAACAAATTTCAAGCATATGGGAAAAGTGAAATAATCTTCCAGTGAATATCTTTGTACTTACCACCTATGTCTACCATTAACGTTTTGCTATATGGGTTTTATTATATATTGATCCCTTTGACTGTCTATCAGTATATCTTATTCTTTGATGCAGTATTTTTATACCAATGTAAATTGCAGAGAATTGCTCATAAAATCTTCAGAAATGTACACAAAAGTTGACCTATAAGTATATTCATGTCATCAGTATTTATGATTAAAAAAATGGAAACAACTAAAATATAGAACAGTCATGACTCAGTTAATTATGGCACGCCTCTTCGATCGATACATTAAAAGTGATATTCTAGGTGGCTATTTAATTACAAGGCTTAATGTTTATGTTAAGTGAAAAACAGGTTGATAATGTGTTTAAACCATAGAATCCAAGTATGGTGAACACCCTTCAAACTATCCATGATAGTTTAAATAATTTAAAAATCATTATTATTTTCTTTTTTAAATTTATCTTTTTAAAGAGTGAAACTCATAACTCCTTTCTCTTACCTCCTTGAAACCCCTGAGATTATTTTTATTTGGCCCAATGGTTTCATTCACAGTCTACATCTGGTCTTGTGATCATCCTTTACTGCTGTAGCTCTGGTAGGCATCTCACTCCCTCCTTTCCCCCCAAATAGGAGAAGATTATTTAAAGTTCAGAATGAGGCAGTCCAATGCCCCATCTTGGTTATCTCCCATTCTCTCCTGCCAGCAGAAACTAATTGAAATAATACACACACACACACACACACACACACACACACACATATACACATAAGCATATACATATGCATATAATGACTAGAAATAAATTGACCACTTCAATCAGATAAAATTCTTGTAGCTTTTTTTTTTTTCTTATTTTTAGTAACTTTTATTGCTGTTTTTTTTTTCTTCAGGGATTTACCTTAAAAGTATTTCTTTCTTTCTTTCTTTCTTTTTTTTAGTGTACCTTAGATTTGTGCTATGGTCTTTAAAGCCAGATTGCTTCCTTATACTGTAAACTCCATGGAGGTAGGGTGACTCAATAAATATCTATTTGTCGACTAAAACTTCAGATTTGGTAACCCTAAAACTAGCTCACTTGAAGGATCCAAGATGTCTGTATTTTGATATCAGCTGATTTATCAGCTGAATTACTTAGAATTGATTGAAGTCTGAAAGAGTTTAGTTTCTACTAGAATATATATATTTTTTCCCCAATAATTTTTATAGTGGGGCTAGCTTTATGGTATGGCAGTAGTGTGTTTGTCAAGAGAAACTGGATCCCATGTGGTGACCTGGTGTGATCCCCAGCTTGCTGGGCATGGGTGCCAGTGCCCAAGATTTGACAGGATAGAGAACTTGAGGAAGGGAATTGTGGAGTGATCTGACTCTATGGAAGGTGTTAATCTCTGACTTTCTCTCACTCTCACTCAGTGTCATGTGTGTGAACATGTTCTATTGTGAATGAATAAAAAGCATTTATGTAGAAAAATTAATGTTTAAAAAGAGAGATTTGAAGTGTTTTCAGGAGTTTATGTTTGTAAGTTGAGTAAATCTCTTTTCTCATCCAAAATATGGGTCTAATTTGCCTTTTTTTTTTTTTTTTGGTTAGATGTTGTAAGTATAAAGTGCTATTATTACTAATGCTAATGTCATACATAGGATTATCTTTTTATGTCTATTTCCTAATTACACAATAAAAAGCAGTACGTGAATGTAGAAATAAGAGGAAAAAGGAAAAGGACAGAGGCCTTTATTCTTATCATAGTCTAGTCTTACCCTTTACAGGTTGGGAATAGACTCCATGTTGGAAGATAAGCATTATTCATCCAGTACCTCCAGCACCTCAGACGGTGGTACAGAGATGATGGAGAATGATTCACACTAAAACATTGTGCTGTGCTAATTAGGACATTTAAAGCATTTCAGATGGACTACATATGTAATGTTTTACATTCCTACATCACTATTGGGCAGAATTATATTTTTCTCTTAAGGTCTTTCTTTCTCCATCTTAGAGGTGTTTCTAACTTTCATTCCTTTAGTATGATTATCGGTATGGCACTTTGAAATTTGTTAGTTTTTATTTTCAAATACTTCAGAATTAGTTCTTATCCTTTTAAAGAACTATTTATTTATTGCTTCCAAGAGAGTTGGGAGAGGAGGGGAGGGACCCCAAGAGAGTCTTCAAGATCCACTTCCAGCCTCAGCCAGTCAGGATAATAGGCACATATATGCATGAGGAGACCTGGGGATGAGAACCTGGGACCTTCTTATGTGGCTTCAGCATTGTGGAGCATTGTGTTACCATTGTGCCACTGCAGCTGGCTTAACTTTTTATCTTAACACATAGTACTATTTATGACACCAATAGAAAATATTGTGACTGTTTAGATACATATTTAGGTTGAATGTAATTAGATGAGGAACAGCCATCTACGGTTTGTCTCAAAAATGCAATGAGCTGCTGACATTAAAAAAATTTCAGTATTTAAGCAAATTTCATGAAAAGGGTTGATTGTGCACATGACAGACAGAAGAACTCAAGGGATGTATAATCCTAATTTGTGGAAATTATCAAATTCAGCTGTGAGTTTATTTATAGGCTAGAATCTGTCAGTCATGAACAATTATTGGTAGTTCTGTGATAATTAATGAGCTTTGTGACCTTTTAAGCAATTGTGTAAAACAGCATTATTTTAAGCCATCACTTATGGCTTAAAACCAGACACTTCAA